GTGGGGCTGGGCTGTGGGGTGCCAGGCTGCCGTGGGGCTGGGTGATCCCTGCCCCGGTTCCTCCCCACACAGCTGCTGGCCCCACACCCGCCTGTTGCAGCAGCCCGGGCACCTGGGGTTTCGGGGGGGTGGGGGGGAGGTGGCTGCCACCCACCAGCCACAGCAGCTCCCGGGGGGGGACACCCACTGGGGGCTGTCGCACATGTACCCTAGAGCCAACTCGGGGAGGGTGAAGGGGTCCGGGGGGACAGCTGGACCCCCCTTCCCGCTCCGGCTGAGCCTGATCCAGCCCCGGCAGTGGCTCCCCTGGGTGCCAGGACGGGCCCTGACGGGGTGAAAGGCGACGTTAGCATTTCTCAATCTGTGAGGGGAGGGGGGGGTGTCCCACCCCAAGGCCCCTGAGACACCACTGCCAAAGCCCAGGGTAATTTTTTGGGGGGGCTGGGAGGATTACCCCGGCTTAGGATGGCACCAGCTGCAGTGCTGGGGTGCTGCGTATTGAGCTCAAGTTTAAAACGAGGGGACGGTATCGCAAGTCACCGGTTAGCCGGTGATGCCACCTTGGCGTTAGTGGGAGAAGGGAGGCCGGAGTGTTTTTACATGGCAGGGTCCCGGGACGAACCGAACTCTTATCCTTAAAACTGCTGCGTTTGAAAAGCAACACTGGACGGTGCCCAAGCCCTCGCCTAATCCCAGGCGCAAAGCTCCTCAGCAGCTCCTGCTAAGCCGTCCTGCGGGCGGGCAGGACCCTCGAGTGGCTTTCGGTGGCTTTGGTTTTCCCGTAGAAGGCGTTGAGACGGTGCTGCTGGTAACGGGGAGCGGCCATGAGCCAGAAAAAACACTCTGGGATGGGGCAGGAGCCCTCCCCTGGCCGGGCTGGGAGCCAGGGGGGCTTGGGGTGGGACACCCCCCCGTGTTTGGGAATGGCAGAGCCGCTTTCCAGAACTGACCTTGATCTTTGTTCCCCCCCCCGCCATGCCTCCATGCTGCGGCCGGCGGCAGACCAAGGTGGAAGACATCGTGCAGGAGATCTTCAACGCCTGCAAGACGAACCATCACGCCTCGCAGTAAGTTCCCCTGGCAGCTGCTTCCCGCCAGCTGCCGAAATTCTTGATAACAATAAATAAATAAATAAAGCCTCCTCCCCGCGCCCCCCCACCAAACCAGTGACTCCGGTGGCTGCTGAGACCCATCATGAG